CCACATATTTGAACTTCCTTTTAGTCTATATTTTATTGGACTTCCATAAAAAACCTCAGTTACACTCTCACGGCTTTTAAGAGATTCGTCCAAAATCTCTTGTATAACATTAATTTCACCGGGGTCAAATTCTTTATCTGGACTAGCAGATGTCATAAATGATTGTTCTTGTTTTTTTGTGTTTCTGTACATCTGTGTATTGGTGTTTTCATCGACTCTAGTTAAAGCAGTTTCTTTTTTTAAATTAGTAAAATACAGCATTGAGCTAACTGAAAATACTTCATTGTATCGTTTTGACATTGATAAGACGATTGTATAGGTGACTTTCTTAAAGCAGGAGGTTTTTTTCTTTTTATATTTAGATGGTGAGGGTGAAAGCCTGTTTTTCGAGGGCTCTATGCAACACCTAAAGTAAACAGGTAAAAAGTACATACTTGTTCATTCTTTTCAAGACTTCTTTTAAGCCTATATGCAATAAATCCATTATCTTCCGAAACATTATTATCGTTGGATCGCATAGCCTATAAGTAATTTTTTAAACAATTATTAAGTTTGTCATTTAAAGCGTTGTTTATAATCTGATTCTTACTATTTACAAAAAATGTTTATAAGTTTGAAATATATTGTTGTTATTATTAAAGTAGAATACTGCAAGAGTGTAATTAACTTTTGATTATTTATTAAAAGAGAGGGTAATTAATTAAAAGAGCCTTTTTTTGTTCAAAAAGCTTTGTCTCAAAATCTAACTACGGAATAGTTATAAAGTATCTAATTATAAAAAATATATTACAGTCGGCGTACATTTAAAACACATAATTACCTTTAAGTTAATGAGGTGTTTTTTGACATTAACATCTCCCAGCTGATAAATGTAGGACATATTGTTTATAACTTTATAATTTTTGAATGATCCACAATTTTCTTTTGAAAAGCAACAACAGCTTTTGTAAAAAACTTTTTTTTTGTTCCATACTCAACTAAAAACAAGTTCTGTTTATGCAGTCCCTAATTGATTCTAATTTTAAAGATCGTTAAAATAAAGTTAAAACATTTTTGTAGTAAAATAAATTGTTTTATTACAATCGCCCACTAACTAGTTTTTCCACAATCGCGGTATAAGAGATTCTTCTTTCCGTTCACCAGACGTTATTTGCTTAAACGTAAATTTAACCATGATAATTAGCCAACCGCACAATATAAAAAAGTGTCACGCAACAATTTTATATTTTTGAAGAGAGCTTTTGGGTTACGACTAATATTAACTCGAAAGGTTATGAGCAACTTTTTGCCATGCCAAAAAAATGGATTCAAAGGTGGCAAAAACTAAATTTTCTTAAAAATTTTAAAAAATTTTAAAATTTTAAACCCGGATTCCAAGTGAACGAAACATTTTTGAAAACCTTTTTTTTCCAACAGGTTTTCTCTATATTCTGATCAGAATATCAAAAATTCAAGCAATTTGGAGAGGGTCACTTCCTGATTCTCACAAAAAATGACTAATAAGCTTTTCTTTAAAGTTTGCTTTTAAATAATAAACTAATTGGAAAATAATGAGTCAATAAAAATCTAGGGAATTCTTATTGATGAAAATTTATTATGGCTTACCTATATAAATTAAATTCAAAAGTTAGTAAAACAAATGGTTTGATTTACCGAATTTGTGCAAACTTAACATCAGAAAGTTTGAAACTAGTTTATTTTAGCCTAATAGTATTAGTAATACATTCTTTCATTTACTATTTTGATATTAAATCGGCTAGTTCTCAACCAACAATACTAAAAAAAAATTTTCCTTAGAAAAACGTCCATACAGACTTATATATATTTAAAAAAATTGTAAAATGCAAAACTAATAATGAAAAACATGCAAATAATGAATATATATGAAATCAATATTTACCAACACTTAATTTTTATGCATAAATATTCCATTGGTTTATTCTCTTAAAATAAACCAATGAAATACTTTTAAATTGCCAAGAATTAGTAACAAGTATTCTGAATATGCAATAGCCGTGGACCAATCAAACACTTTTCAAATACGAAAAAGTTTAAGCACAGTAAAATTGTAAAACTCCTTCAAGTTTCTAATAAAAAATGAGACTTTCAAGCTAGAAAAACAATTGTTTAAAATAAATTTTGTTATGTTTAAAAAAATTCGCCAAATATAATTGAAAGACTAAAATTAAATTGAAACTGTTTACTTACTTGGTTTAATGGAAATAGTTAGAAATTTTTTTTATTATTGGAATTGTAGATAGTGTTTTATTTTTATTTTTATTGGAATTGTACATAGTATTTTATTTTTACCTTGTATACCATAATGCTTTAGTTTTTATTAGATTTGAATTACCTCATAGAAAGCTACCCAGTGGGCACCCGACGTCAATCCGACGTCGGATTTACGTACGATTTTCATCAGCGATGTCAAAAGACCTATTCCGACGTTGTTCCGATGTCAGTAAAATGACGTCGGGCGATGTCTTTATCTCAACATCCCCTGACGTCGTTTCGATGTATTTTGACGTTGTTCCGACATCTTACTGACATCGATCCAACGTCGATAAAAAGACGTCGGGCAACGTCATAATATTAACGTACTCCGATGTCTTTTGACGTCTTTCGACGTCAATCCAACGTCCTTAAAACGACGTCGGAACAACGTCGTAAGACATCGCTGATGAAAATTTAATCCAAACCCAACAATATGTGTGCAATTGCGCTCTTCAATAAATATGTGAACTAAGCGTGTTTTTTATTAATGGAAAGAAGTTTGAATAATGGTTGATAAAACATCATGAAGTTTTGTATGATGCCCTAGCATAGTTTTTTAACTATTAACATTTTCGAGTATACATTTTTTATAATATATAACTATTCGTTTTAATATTTATATAATATTTAAACAAAATTATTTCTTATCAAAGTAATAATTCCCAAATAGCTACAAGTATGAATCACTAAATAAACTGTGAACTAATTTGTCGCTGTGGTGTAGTGGTAAGCGCGTAGGATTTAGTTATTAGTAGACCGAGGATCGATTCCTGCCTAAGACAACGTTTTTTAGTTTTCAAAAAACACGTTGGATTTACATCGGAATGCCGACTTCTCGCGATGTCAGTTTATCCGACGTCAAATAACATTTCCATTTCCAACGTAAACCCAACGTCGATCCGACGTCGAGATCCGACGTCGCTCGACGTTCGTTCGACGTCGAAATGCCCACTGGGTAAGACATTATGGTATCACTGGTAGTCTTAACATTATAAAAAAATTACTTAAATAATTGTTAGCAATTTATCAACATATTCTTCTTTAATCTTTTAGAAATTTCATTTGGAGTTCCACGGGGTTCTATATTAGGTCCACTGTTACTTCTTATTTATAATCTCCGTAAAGAATTGACGATAACGTTTTCTGAATAATCTTTTCTATCTCATAATAACATCAAATTACTTAATTATATGAATACAGAACTAAAGAAAGTTTTTGAGAGAATCAAATCAAATAAATATTCACTAAATATAAAAAAACCCAAACTTTTTTAATATATTTATTTTTTAATTTTAATATTAATTTTTTAATTTTAATATTAATATAATTATTTTTTTCTTATGTTGTTAATAAGGTGTTTGCAAAAATCCTAACGGTCTTTTCAAAGAGCACCCCGGAAGTGCATTTAACTATGAAGTTCACGCCTCCTTCAATGTTGCTTATAAAGCTAGAGGCGCCGAACCTCTGACCTCTTGGTTATGAACCAAAACTCTAACCACTGCCTAACGACTAAATTCTTTTTCACCAAGTTTCAAAAAACATATAATACAGTGTGAAATGAGTGTGCATTGAGAACATTAATACAAAAAAAGTTATGTATACAAGCCTTTTACGTGTTATTATAAATAAAAAAAACCTCTGTAAAAATATCAGAAATTGCTTTTGGCAGTAGGTTATTCTTATATTTATACATAAAAATTTGTGTTTCAAATAATATAAGTTTACATATATCTAGAACATTCATGTATATCAACATAGGGTTGTTTTTCAAACTTGAAGAGAGTCTTTCTGCCATGGTTGACAGTGCAACAATAAAACCTTAAACCCAATCCTCTTAGTCAGTTTCTTGAATACTACATGTATTTATGGCGTCTACAAACTTTATACACATACTTTTGCCTGGTTTTTCGTGTTTACTATGTCATTTTGCTTTTTTTCAGTTGACCAATCTCTTTCCTCTTTTCTCTTTGCATGTTCATACCATTTCCTCAAAACTGTTGTTGTACATGTTGCCAGGTAAGGTTGATAGAAACTATCAAAATAGAATGCTTTGTCTTCATCGTTTATTTTAACTTCAAAAGAATCTTCTAGTTTGTTATCAGTTGTTCTGATGTCACAAGCTTTACTTGAATGGCGTACCTTGAACTCCTTAGATACGTATATTGAAATCGTGCGCCATTGTGAGCCAAATGAAATAATCTTTACTTTGAAGTTGGATTTTAATACAAAATTTCTTAATTTTTTTTAAGTATATGATTATCTTTAGGCACTATATTAGGTGGAGATTTATATTGATAAAATGAACTATTGGTGTGGAAATTCACTAGTTCAAAATAAAAGTAAAATAATTAAAGACATAACTTTTATTTTTTAATTTTATCAATAAACAATAAACAAATGAAATACCGATCGGTAAGTATATTTTTGAGTTTAAAAATATAATCGATTACATATGGTCAATATTTCTAAAATTTAGATAAGTTTTGATATTAAATATCTTGAGAATAAATGAACATTTTTGAAAAACTTTTTTGGAAATGAGCTTTAGAATGAATTGAAACAACATTGATTGAACCTTGACTATGTTTACATTAAAAAAAACTTGAAAAAAAAACTTACAAAAAAACTTTAAGTTTTTATTATTGAAATCATTCTATATTGCATCGAATTCATATATCATTTTTTTACAGAATAATGATATATAAATAAGTTTATTTATTTCTTACCTCGTTTACCTTGTTTTTCTAATTGCTGCATTGCCCCAAGACTAATCTTACGCTGTTTTAGTTCTATTTGAGAAGAAGACCTTTCTCTGACAACCAATGGGCCGTCATGATCTAACCATTTAGAAAATTTAGGATGATTTCCATCAGAGACCACAATAATTGGAGAACCTTTTTGTCCAAATGAATGAACCCATTCATTCTCAAAGAGACTTCTAGACTAATGATACAAATTAATAAAATATTCATGATATAATTTAGCTAAAAAAAAAGTATTAAAGAGAAAAAAAAAAACCTTGGAAATTTCTTTTATTGGTAATTGAGCATCTAATTCGATAATTGAAATTTTTGGATATTTAACAATTACTTTATGATCATCATTAGGCTTGTCTCTTTTTTTATTGCGTAAATATCTGCATAAAGTAAACAGGGCAAAAAACAAAACACATAAAAATGTTCCAGCCAGAATCAAGATAACTAAAAAAAAAAATTATTTAATTAAAAGTTTTTTTGTTTTTAAATAAGGTTATTGGTAAATCTCAACTAAATATCCAAATAAATTTAAAAATGTTGTTTATTTGGTGCTAAGACAAGTACAAAATTACTAAAGACGATAAGAACTTTAATGTTTATTAAAAAACACTTGATGCGAAAAAACAGAATGGTACTTTTTCTTAATGTTTTCTCTTATCTAAGGATTTATTTTAAAAAAGATCCAATAGTGCAATTCAAAAGATTTTAAATCAGCTATACAAGTTAATACATTTGTCAATTATTTTTCGTCAAAATTAGTGTTGATAGTTTCCAGCCAACATTGACAGACAGGTACCGTATGGTTTTTGTCTGGGTTAACGCGAACGGGATTTTGACGGGTAAGTGTTTTGGTTTCCAGACGGGTCCCATATGGTAATAAAATCAAGCATATTTGCTCGTTTAGGTTTTATCTGGTTTTTATCAGGGCCGAAGAATCCGGGGATTTGACGGGTTTTCCATTAGGTTCCCAAAAGGTTTAAACTGATAATTAAAAAAATCATTATAAAACTTACTCGATGGTTGCCATTTAAAATTCGTATTGAGCGTGAAATAAAATTAAAAATTTATCTTTTATGCATTATATTTTTTGTATACATTATATTAACATTGTAATTAAAAAAAAAAAAAAATTTTTTTGATGTATTTTTTTACTGTGAAACTTCATTAAAAAAACATTGTTTTCAAATTTAATTAATTTATTACTGTTATTAATGGTAATAAATAAATGAAGTTTTAAAACCACGTCTTTTTAATGGAGTTTCACAGTGAAAAAATAATCAAAAAATACAATTTTTGATGTATTTTTGGTATACAAAAAATGTTATAAAAGGTATACAAAAAATGTTATAATGGCATTATAAAATAATTTTTTTCATATACATTTTTTTAAATAAATTTACATAGTTTAACATATTTGTTAAGCATAAGTTCCAGGAACTATTAAACAAGTTGTAAATATTCCATATATCATATTATATTAATTTAATAGTAATATTTATTTAATTATATTTTATTTATTTTATCCTAATTGTTTAGCTTAATATTTATTAATTTATTTCAATTACTTTATATTATAATTAGTTAAGCATTTGATTCTTTTATATAGTTACATTTAAGTCTTATACATAATAATACATTAACTTAAACACTTTACTCATTTAATTAATCTAATATGGAAAGTCTGCATTGTATGTCACAAAAATGTTGCTAAAAATCATGGTTCTGTATTGTTTGTGATCCTTAGCCTAGTTTGATTAAAAAATTTAATTTAAATATTCCAACTGAATCCCCTGATCTCAATTATTTGTTTAAATGGTTAAACAAAGTAAACAATTGTGTCTTAGATTGTAAGTACTACAATGTTGATGATTTTAATGCCTTCGATCTTAACCTAAACCCGTTAAATTTTTTACACTTAAATATTTTCTCTCTTTCTTTTCATATAGATGAATTTAAATCTTTATTAATTCCTTTAAATTTCCTTCCTGTGTTATGGCATTGTCTGAGACAAGGTTGCAATAACATGTATTACCCATAAGTTACGTAGAAATCGAAAACAAATAAATGATTTTGCAAAACTGACATATTTTTTCAACAAAATAAAACATTTTGAAATTAGAACTACAACTGAAAAATCTAAAAAGTTTAAATAGATTTTTGGTTAAACCATTTCCTTTAAACAACTGTTCCAGTGTATACTAGAAATAGTCTGAGTTTAGTTGCTTTCCATTTTTTAATATCTAATTAAAACTTTGAATTTTTTGAAAAACTTCTTGAAATGTAACGACGTATCCGGAACAAACCGCCAGATAAAGTATTGACTGTAATCTGAGATAATTTACAACATTTTGGCGATTAAACATCATAAGGTGACAAATCTTCCCGTTACCCCTAAGCATACTAGATGCATTAAGTCTAAAGGAAACTTTGTCACCATGTCAAAATTTAATTCAATTTAACACACCACTAAGATGTTCAGAATATTTTTGATGACAAAAAATTTGAATCAGTGCTTAAAATTAGTGAAATATGTAGAAGAATTATCTTGCCACACCACTCTCTTTTCTTAACACAACATCCACATCAGTTATAATCATTGTGTCCTTTAGTACACTTTACAAATTCTCTCGCTGGTGCATCACATATGATAACAGCAAGAATGATTTTAAACTCAATATTTTCATAGATAAAATCATCTTTTGCAAGAACTTTGAAATCTACCAAAAAATTATGTAGATAATTAAGGTGACCAACAATTCTCATTTACTGAGTTTTGCACTCTTTTTTTACAAAGGGTACTTTTTTCAAATCCTGTACTCTGAAAGTAATCATTTGTGTAATTTTATACTCATTTATATTTCTAATACATTTTTTTAGATTATTTTATTTCAATTTTGTTAATTAAATATTTAATATTATTTTGACAGTAATTTGAATTTCACGCGCGCATATTGCTTGCCGTTTCCGCCACGTCTGAGGACAAGAATTATGACAGCTTAAATTTTATTTTTTGCTATTTTTCCTTTATGTAGTGACATATTTTATGTGGTGACATGTTAAACAGTGTAAGTTTTGGGTTTTACGCATGCAACAATTATCTTTAAGCAACACTTTTTAAAATTTTTGAAGTTTTTTAGCAAAATCCGACAATTCTTAAAATTAAATGCCGTTCCATTGGTTGGATAATTTCTAAAATCAAAACATTTTCAAGCCCGGTAATTAATGTCTTTTATATTACATTGCCGAATAGATTTGCATTAGTAACCGCCATGTTCAAGGGTGCATACTTGATCAAGGTTAAATACCACAATTTATATTTGCAACATTTTTCTTTCAGCCAAAAATAGTTTCACTTCATTTGCATTAATTAGTGATCAGATATGTTGAATATTGGAATGAATATCTGAAGGCCTTTTAATACCGCAGCAAGAACTTACCTCTCGGCTCCAGTATCTTGGCCAGTCCTATGAATGAGAGGTCGTTGTTGCAGCCGTGATTTGGTTTCATTTCTTAACGCTGCATCAACACTTAATAAAACTTTACAGTGAGCATCAATCCAAACTGTACCATAGTTTTTTTTCTGTGCGTAATATTTAAGTCACTGCAAGTAAAGAAATCACTAAAGTGTTAACCTACTCTTAGAAAATTCATGTAAAAATGTGGCACTACCATCTTGTTGTTTGATGTTTGGTTTAAAATTCTGACATGTACAATTAAATAGAGATCTTTATTTAATTATTTCAAAGCGTTTGATTGTGGAAAGACACTACTTTGACCATAAACCAAAACCAAACAAAAAAATCTTAAACTGTACGTTTTTTAAAAGAGATTTGAAACTAGTTAAAAAACTTCCTAAAATCTATCCATTCTTTATTTTTTTTATAGTCGAAACTCTCTTTTAATATATATGCAAAAATTACTTAAGTATAAATATTTAGCTGGCGTAACTGTAAGAGGAGGTCCGCTGTTTTATCAAGTTAAACAGTTTCTCCGGAAGATAATTCTTTATTTTAAAATAACTTAAGATACAATTCATTTGGCTGCTTTGGCTTCTTTTGCGGCTAAAGACAAAAGGGTTTCCCTGCACTTTTTTTGAGACCATTGGTGCGACAAACCTTTCTCTAAAGGGCTGATGTATGCACTGCAACTTACACTTGGTTCTTTCTCAATGGTGTTGTATATTTAGTATTTAAAATAATATCTTTTTTGTAGCTTTGAACAACTGATTCGGCAGATTAAGTTCAGGTCTCATTTGTATTGATTTAAAACCAAAAAAAGAGAAAAGGTGCAATATTTTCCCCTGCTCTTTTCTGCACAAAGTAATTCTTCAAAATTCGCAGATTCTTTATAAAACCCGAGTGTCACTGATATTGATCTTGGTGTTGTATAGTTGGTATATTCGATCTGCTTCGAAAGTAGTAAGCTGTATTACATATTTTTTTATACAGAACAACCAACCAAATATTTGGTTTTATTTGAGAATCTTTACTTAATTTGGCATTTCGCATATCAAACTCTGCCTTTTATAAAATTTAACTAAAATTTATATTGAATAAAACTCTACCTAGCATACTAATAAATAAAATTATTTAAAAACCATTAAAATCGAAAAAAACATTTCCTTATTGCAAGAACATAAATCTTGAATCAATCTTTTTTTTTTAAAAAATGATTATTTATATTAGTGCCATTTGCTGCACTTAATGGCTGTTTAAATGAGGTCTTATATGATGACATACTTAATGACAGTTTAAATGGGTTCTTATATAATCACGCACTTAATGACAGTTTTAATGAGTTTTTATATAATGATACACTTCATGATATTTTAGAGGAGGTCTTAAATAATGAAACACTTAATGACAGTTTAAATGAGTTTTTAAATGATGTCACACTTAATAACAGTTTAGATGAAATCGTATATGAAGAGACACTTATTGACAGTTTAGATAAGTTCTTACATGATGCCACACTTAATGATAGTTTAGATGAGATCTTCTAAACTGACACGCTTAATGACAGTTTTGATGAGTTTTTATATCAAGACACACTTAATAACAGTTTAGACGAGTTTTTATATGATGTCACACTTAACGATAGTTTAGATGAGGTCTTATACAATGACACACTTAACGACAGTTTGGATAAGTCCTTATATGATGTCACACTTAATGACAGTTTAAATGAGACCATATATGATGATACACTTAATCGTAGTTTATATGAGGTTATTATTTGATGATGAACTTAATGATAGTTAATAGTAACTCATCAAAACAGATGAGTTCTTATAAAACGAAACACTTATTGACAGTTTAGATAAGTTCTAATAAAATGATACGCTTAATGACAGTTTACATGAGTTTTTATATGATGGCACACTTAATAAAAGTTTAGATGAGATCTTGTATGATGTCGCACTTAAGGACAGTTTCGATGAGATT